TTTATTTGTTATTTGCCTCATTTGCATTAAATCATTTTAGTACCCTTAAATCGGGCTTAAGTTGCATATTTGCATGTTTAGTAGCATGTTTAGGATCATTGTACTTTGTTTTATTCATATTATGCATGGTAAGATGCTTGGCCATGGAATCCAGTGAGTTTTCTCTTCTTTTCACGGCATGTGCTTATTTTTGGTTCATTGTTTTCAATAATCCAAGTCTATATGCTTTTTTATGCAAAGTTATGTGTTTTGGATGTTTTTAGGAATATTGCTTAGTTTATATCTTGTTTATGGCCATTGGGGGTTAAAAAGTTATTTTTGATGGAAAATATGATTGTTTTATGAAAATATATGGTTGTATTCGATGGATCTAAACTGAGTGGTATTTATTTATTCAATCACTTAGTTTCAGGTTTAGTAATGGTTTCTAGGGTTAATAATGAAGTTTGTGAAACCTTTAATCACTAAAATCACAAAATAGAGAGTTAGTAGAGGCCAATTTTTGGATTGAGCAAAAGAGAGTGCTTTCATTCAATAATCTTCTCCTTTCATACCTTAGTTCCCAAACCTTGATTATTTGCTTATGACGGATCAGGTCTTATACTTAGTTTTTATTGTTAAAGGTTTTTTTAATTCCCCTTGAAATTAAGTGGTGACTCTCAAATGCAAGTTGGTACGATATTGGTAAACGGGCCTTATACCCAAAAAGGCACGACGTCCACAGTGAGGATCACACTTTTGTAATTCAAAGTCATTTTGATAGGTTTCTTTTTAAGTAAAACACCATAATTAAGCTACATTTATAACTAAAAGAAATATGGATAATCTTTCTTTATATATAGTATTACATAAAAGAAAAACTATACACAAATAAAATTTCCATGCATAAATTTAATCCATAATAAGAAGGCTATCCTGTCTAAAAAAAATATAAATAAGAAGGTTATGAAAAATTACATCATTATGTATAAAAACTCAATTTATAAAACATTATTTTTCCTATTGGTTCTGATTATAAAAAGGCAAAATGTAATATACATGGCAAAAGTCAAAACAACACAAGTGTTCTTGGGAAACTAATTAAAGATGGCTGCAAATTTGAGATTTGGGGAAGATGAAGTAAGCCTTGCTAAAGATAAAACTCAACCTCTCTTCTTTGCACCAGTGTAAGTTCCTTAATTAACTTCATTTTTTTTACTCTTGACCAATTTAAAACATCATTTGGTGTAGTTTAAATAAATATATTTATTACTTTAAAACATGGCCCCATGGCACCTCTCTTTGGCGTGAGAGAGCCATTAATAGAGGGTTTGTCCACTTTTTGCAAGTCAAAGTAGTATTTGAACATTGAGCAAGAGAAGAAGCAACGTTCCACTACATTAGTTGAGAGGTTGAGCTGGAAGGACATCTTTTCCTCCTATAGTTTTACACAATTTAATTTACATCTCCATTAATATTAGGAAAACAGAAACTAAACATAGATCACGAAACTGTGATTTTCAGTGTCCCATTCTATGTTTAGTTTATGTGTTCATGTTCTTGTACTAACACTTTAATTGGTTATTAGGTTTGGCAAGCATCATTGGGGGAGCTCCTTAGCATGGCCGTACTTGTCTTCATGATCAATGCCGTAGTCATCTCTACTTATCAAACCAACATCGCCGCACCAAATCTAATAATATCAATCCTCATAGCTGTTACTCTCACAACATTAATTCTTTCCATTTCCCCTGTTTCTAGAGGCCACATCAACCTGGTTATCTTTTTCCTCGCTGCTCTCGTCAACCTTATAACTTTTTCATGCGCAACCGTCTACATTATGGCCCAATGCTTTGGAGCTGCTTTAGGGGCACTAGCACTCAAAGCTGTGGTCAATAGCACCATTGAGGAAACCTTCTCACTTGGGGGTTGCACCCTCTCAGTCATTGGACTTGGGCCAAGCCCTTTGGCTCGAGATCATATGCACTTTTGTGCTTTTTTTTGCTTCAGTATGGATTGCTTGGCATTGGGCCATGTTGTTGTTTTTTCGATCATCGGATTAGTGATGGGCCTTCTGGTGTTTATCTCGACCATGGTAACAAACACAAAGGGTTAAGTTGGAAGGTGTTTTGGGCCGGCTATAGTGAGAGGAGGCCAACTTTGGAATGGGCACTAGGTCTTTTGGGTTGGGCCGACAATTGCATGTGTGGCATTCTCTACATACACCAAGGTCATTCCACGTCAACATTTCCATGCCAATGCTTGCTATTAGGCTTTTGTAATTAGCAATCCTGTTTGACGGAACTTCTTTTAGTTGTAATTTTATTCGTTCTTTTGTTTCAGTGAGGCTGTAAGTGTTTAGATGCAAATCCAACCCCAGTATAGTGGAGTTTGTGTTGACATTCTATATCTTAAGCATTCTCTGCTTGCTACTTCGCTGACTATGTATGGGGATTAAGTTGCCCGGTCAGCTTGTGGGGGTCTAGGGGACAGCGCCCCATGGCGGGTCCGGGGCAGTGCCTAGGCGGCGTCGAGGGGCAGCGCCCCCAAAGCCAAAGGTGTTTGATCGCTCGAGCGGTCATTTGTGTGCTCGAGTGGTGAAGAGGAGCATCCAGTATCTCTGCCTACAAACTGAACTTCTGGGAAGCAAGTTTTATCGCTCGAGCGGTGAATGTTACGCTCGAGTAGTCGGCCTATATGTTTTGCACCACCTTTACACACACCACTTGAGCGATGATGTGTGCGCTCTAGCGGTCTTTGCGATTCTGTTTACTATATAAAGTGCGTCATTTGCTTGTTTTAGGGTTTAACTGGTCTAGATTCTTAGAGAGAAAGAGAAAACAAAGTGTTTTATATTGGAGAGTGTTTTATAAGTGGTTTTTGATGGTTTGAGAGTGATCAATGGATCTATGAACTTCATATTAACATCATCAAAGGATTTTTTTTCATTATTTCATTCATAAAGGAAGAGGTGTTCTTCGGTGGATTCCAAGGAACTTAAACTTGAAGCTTTGGTGGATTTCGGAATGACTCATAGTCGTGTATTCGAGATCAACGTTGTGGATTCAACGTTGGGTAAGACAATTCCAAGATGAAAATGATGATGGAAGAGACACATTGAGGTCAGTTTAATTCGGGTGTAGATTTGCTAGGTAATTGAGAGTACACATGTGCAATTTCTTTTTGTTTTTTTAGTGGATTGTTTTGTGGCTTTGGCCCATGGTTTTTTTTATATCACAATTGGAACTACTCCAATTGTGATTTTTTTTTTCACATTAAATCATTGTGTTGATTTGTTATTGATTATTTGATTGGGATTGGTATTTACTAGTTAAAATTGAAACATAATCATGAATCAATATTTCGGAAATTTTAGATTTTTCACTCACAAGCATGACTAGTTGAACATTTTGATGGGTATGTTTGTGTCGAGTCATCATTAGTAACAATGTAACAATTAAGTGTAACGACTAAAATTATGAGTAGATGTAGAAAGTATAAAGAGTTCTCTAAAAAAACTAATGAGACTCATTGTAATAGGTAGAAAGTTACATAGGAGATGAAGGATTCTAGTGAAATATTTCATCCTATGTAGATGTTATAAGTGATATGTATAAAAACTTTTAATGAATGTTTAATATGAATATAATGAAAAGGATCTTTCATCAATGTCAAAAAACTCTAGGCATCCAAAAAAGAACTCATAAATTTATCCGCAAATTTAAATTTATGGTGCCTTGTTGTGAGATCATATCATAAATGAATCTTAGCATTCAATTGTAAAATCTGAACAATTTTATGATTTTTTTTCTTCTAAATTTGCTTAACAAACACCCACTCTTGTGTTGCTGATCACATAATTCTTGTTTGGATCCAGAATTCTATAGGGATTAGAAATAACTTGTACTTTTTGCATTTTGTACTTATTTTAATAGAAATTTTGTAGTAGTATGGAACAGCCTAAAAGTATTTCCTAACTTAAGCTTATTTAGTTTTTCTGATTTTTAGATTGTTGCTTTGTCTCCAAGATTAATCGCATTTTGTTTATTTTTAAGTCTTAAGAGCAAAATAACTTTTTATTATCAATAATATTAAAAGTTTTTCGAGAGCTCATTTTGTCTATTAAACAATAGATCAATGCAATCATTTTTTATTTTATAATTATTTTTAGTCTTCTTATCTATTTGCAATTTGCCCTTTATTAAACCCACTATTATTAATAAAAAATTAAGCCCATATTTAAAACAGGTAAACAATTGAATTTCAACCCAAAAGACTTGCATTTTAGCATTCACTAATTGTTGGACAGATTGAAGTATCTTAAACATCATTTATTCATTTAAGCAAAGCAATGTATGAAAGGGCAGAGATATACAACACAAAGAGAAGTGAGATCAAAATGTGGGTATGTACAAAAAGAACTAAAATACACTATGAGAAAGGGATGTTATGGACCCAAAATTTGCACATAAAAAAATATCTAGAAAAAATAACGTGCGGTCTAAATTCAATCTAAACATGAATTCTACCATTAAAGAATTGCATTTGGACCGCGCATTGTATTACTGAATAATTTTTCTTTTGTGTGTATGAGTTCAATATCGGTAGATTTATTGGTCAAAGATAACTGGAGAAGTTTAAAAAGTTAAAAATTCGATATCACCAAACAATTGTTTCAATAAAATCATGTGGAGTGGAATTTGAAGGGGTGGAAATTTGTTGCTTCTTCTCTAAGATTAATTGCATTTGGTTTATTTTTAAGTCTTAAGGGCAAAATAATTTATTTTATCAATAATATTAAAAGTTTTTCGAGAGCTTCTTTTATCTAATAAAACAATAGATTATAATCATTTTTTATTTTCCATCTTTTTGTAATTATTTTTAGTCTTCCTACTTATTTTTGATTGGCCCTTTATTATAAACCCATTACTATTAATAAAAAATACCCTACGAGAAAAGGTGGTCCATCAATTGAACCTCTACCCTGCAGGCCATGCTCTTAAATGCTAATAGTTAGAAAATTTGATGCATAATGAAGCAGCCCTTTCTCTTCATCTTATTCACATGTGCTCTTTTGGAACAAGTAGATAAACTGAGAGGGTGAAAAAAAAAAAAACTTCAAAGTAGATGAGGGGGAATGAAAATGTGAAAACAATAAAGGAAGATGAGAATGCTATCAGGATGTTTAACAGTTGACATCAAAGAGTTTTCCTAATGAAATCAAGTGGAATGGATTCTGCAGAGGTGGCCTCTCTTTTGATAGTGCCACAGAAACTTGTTGCATAGTTGGTCGGCATTGTGAACTGGTGTGCAAGCATGCTAGTGCTAGCTTTGCAGCAAGGACCACTTCTTTTTCCATATGATTCCTAGGAGGTGGGAGGCGGGTATCCAAAATGTCTTTCAACAATATATCATAAGCAGTGGGTGGTGATGATGACGACGATGACGACGATGGCAACCACAAAGATGAGGAAAGAGAAGAGATGAGATCGCTTGGATGCTTCCCCATGAACACTTCTAGCGTTAAAACTCCAAAGCTATAAACATCCAACTTCTCGTTCACTTCCATTGTGTAAGCAAGTTCTGCCAGAAAATCAAGAGCAAAGAAAAGAGAGGGATAAAGGGAAAAAAAGAGGGAGAATTTGTTTGTGCTTTATTTTTACAGTTAAGTTGCATTGCAGTAGACCTACATGCTCTTGCAATCATGCATTATTCAGTCAAATCTGGCTCAAGTTAAAAATTTTAATTGAAGGAATTTAATGAAACAGGCCGTAAATGTCAATTTAAAGATGAACTTTGTATGCTAATTTGAAGAAAAACCATGCCATACCTGGGGCTGCATACCCAATGGTTCCTGCAAATGAAGTCCAATTGGAGGAGTGAGGCTTTAAAAGTCTAGCAGTGCCAAAATCAGAGATGTGAGCCACATAATCTGAATTTAGCAGAACATTTTTGCTTGATATGTCGCGATGAATGACTGGAGGCGAACAATCATGGTGCATGTATGACAAAGCATCTGCTATACCTCTAACAACATTCACCCTCTTAGTCCACTCAAAATCCAATATCGCTTCATCATTGCTCAATATCTTTTCCAAGCTCCCCCCTTCCAAAAACTCGTACACTAAAAATGAGTGTCGTGGATGCGAACAAAAACCATAAAGCTTTATGATATTACGATGTCGTATCTCTGTCAATGCACGAATCTCACTTGTAAAACTTCTTAGGTTAGCCAACTCACCATCTTGTGAAGAGTGAAGTTTCTTCACAGCAACAACTTGACCACTTGGCAGCTCTGCTTTATAAATAGTGCCATATCCTCCTAATCCAATGCAATGTTTAGAATTAAAGTCCTTTGTCGCTTCGATGATGTTTTTGTACACCATTTTTCCATCGTAGCTCCATATTGCGAACAAATTTTCATTGTCTGCTCCTCTAGCTGTAGGCTCATTTTCTGTGTTCTCCACCTTTTTGCACAGAACCAGAAAAATTCCAACAACCATAAGCAATAAAATGCCTAAAAAAGGTACTACGACCAAAATCACAACTTTTTCATACTTTTTCCCTTTAGGCTTATTGCTGTTTTTAGGGGAGCATGACATCAAACCAGTCTTATTGCCACACAAACCACGATTATCTCTATATGCTTCATATGGAGCATCTTGAAAGGCTTTGGTGTTGGGCAAAGGACCCTCCAAGTGATTATAAGATATATCAACAGATGTCAAACTTGATCTCCTATTAAAAGAGGATGGAATGGAACCAGACAGCTTATTGTGGGACAGATTTAATGTCTCTAAGCTTTGCAATTCCCCAATCTGTTGTGGAATCTCACCTTTAAACAAATTGTTTCCTAGGTCAAGACTCTGAAGAAACTGTAATGTGCCTATTTTAGAAGGAATATCCTCCCTGAGTAGATTTTTGCTCAAATTCAAGTTCCATAGTTTCACAAGCTCCCCTATTTGGACTGGAACTGATCCACTTAGATTGTTTGCCGCCAAGTTTAGATCTTCCAAATTAGATAGCCTACCAAATTCTACTGGAATGTTGCCTGAAAGTTTGTTATCACACAGAGAAATACTGAACAATAAGGCCAACTTTCCCAAACTCTTTGGGATCTCTCCATCTAGATGATTTGAAGAGAGGTCAAGTAGTTGCAACTGACTTGCACCTCCAAACTCAAGTGGTATATTTCCAGAGATTTTATTGTTGGAGAACTTTATACTAGTCAAATTATGGCACTGCCCCAATTTTTTAGAAAGTTCACCATAAAAGTTATTATAACTTAGATCGATATATACCAAGTTTGGGAGTACCCCGAAAATTTCAGATATATTTCCAGTGAGTTGGTTTTGATCAAGCCTAACTCGACGTAACTGACTGCAATTTCCCAAGAATTTTGGGATATCACCTATTAAGTAGTTGTTTGATGCAAGTAGTTTGGTAAGTGATCCACCAATGCAGATATGCGGTAGTATATGACCTATGAGCTTGTTATTGCTTACATCAAAGATTTGCAAATGCGTAAGATTGTTCATTTCTGAAGGAACGGAGCCTGTCAGTTTGTTATCACGCAAATTGAAATAAGTTAGGGAGTTTAGTTTTCCTAACTCAAAAGGAATTGAACCTATGAGATTGTTTGCATACAAACTAAGTTCAATGAGAGACGTTAGCATTCCAACATCTTGGGGGATGGATCCTGAAAGTTGGTTTTTATAAAGGTATAGAATGGTCAAGTTGGCCAAGTTCCCTATAGAAGCAGGGATTGAACCTGTGAGATTGTTTGTTGACAAGCCAAGTTTAATGAGAGACCTTAGCATTCCAACTTCTTGGGGGATGGATCCAGAAAGTTGGTTTTCATAAAGGTATAGAATGGTCAAGTTGGTTAAGTTCCCTATAGAAGGAGGGATTGAACCTGTGAGATTGTTTACAGACAAATCAAGTTCAATGAGAGACCTTAGCATTCCAACTTCTTGAGGGATGGGTCCAGAAAGTTGGTTTCTATAAAGGTATAGATTGGTCAAGTTGGTCAAGTTCCCTATAGAAGCAGGGATTGAATCTGTGAGATTGTTTGTTGACAAGCCAAGTTTAATGAGAAACCTTAGCATTCCAACTTCCTGGGGGATGGATCCAGAAAGTTGGTTTTCATAAAGGTATAGAATGGTCAAGTTGGTTAAGTTCCCTATAGAAGGAGGGATTGAACCTGTGAGATTGTTTACATACAAATCAAGTTCAATGAGAGACCTTAGCATTCCAACTTGATGAGGGATGGATCCAGAAAGTTGATTATCATAAAAATACAAAATTGTGAGAGAACAGAGTATTCCTATTTCTGATGGAATTGTTCCTGAAAGATAATTGTTGGACAAGTCAAGGTAGGTTAGTGTTACAAGGCTACCAATCTTCGAGGGGATGGTCCCGTAGATTGAGTTGTTATGAAGTTTAAGGCTGAGGAGTTGAGGGAAGGAAGAGAAGTTAAGATTGGAAAGTGTACCTCTCAAGCCATTACTCTCAAGGTCTATATGGGTGACTCTGTCAGCATTATTGCAATCGATTCCAACCCAATTGCAATGATTGCTTCCAGCCCACGAGAACAAGAGAGATTGGCTCTGGTTGTCAAGGCTAGCTTTCCACCTCAAGAGAGCCGCAGCTTCAGTTCCGTCTTCTCCAACTTTAGTAGTTGCAGAAGCAGCATAAGTAGCAGAATTAAAAGAAGAGACCAATTGAAGGATCATGAGAAAGACAAACAGGACATGGAACGGAACAAACTGGTTGGAAAGCCTCTCCGCCAAGGCTGTCATTGTTGGTTTGTAACTACAAGCAATGAGGAACAGTTGTTTGGATGGAGAGATGAAGGGCTTGAGGTTCTTTGAGAGCATGGATAAGTATTTATAGATAGATAATACGATAAATAACGAAATAAAAAAACTATAAGATGAAGTGGACTGCACTGCCCCACTGGTTGAAAAATTAGTTTAGTTTCAAAATTCTAAAGTAAAATATTGTTCCAAGTTTTGGTTTGATTGACTAATCACATATGAAGTATTGCCACAATTTGATCAAACTCACCTATAAAAAGATTTCCAGTGAAACTGTTTTTCTTCTTTAGTTATTTATTTATTTTTTATGACGGGTCTTACAGTTTAATATCTGTAACCAAAACCATTTGTTGTTTCTGGTTTTGTGTCCGTAGATTTATTTATTTATTTATTTATTATTATTGTTATTATTATTTCATGATAACCAATATAATAAAATAAAATAAAAATAAATAAATAAATAAATAAACTGATGCGATTTAACCTTTTACAGTTTGTGCTTATTGAAATTTGCAGCAGTGATTAACTAAAGAGCTGCACCTAATATACTAATTAGATTATGTGTGGATCGTAGATTTGTTTGGTTTCAGAAAATTGAGCTCACTTTTTAAAAAATTTGAGTTTCATGTTTTTGAGTATTTTTTTTTTAATTTAGTAATTTTTTTTAATAATTTAAGATTTTTTTAATTTTTTTTTTAAAATGCACCTAACCTAGATATACTTAAAAAATATACTTTTATGAAAACAATTTTTAAAAAATTTATCAAATACAAAAAATACAAAAGAAATATAAAAATTCAGTACATTTTTATATTCTTGTGTATGTATTAAATTTTTAAAATATTTTTTCACAAATATTTTACTTTTTAAGTGCATCTAAGTTATGTGCAATTAGAAAGTAAAAAAAATTATTTAAAATATTAAAAAAATTAACTAAAAATAAAAAATATGAAAAATAAAAAACTCAATTTTTAGAAAATTAATAAAAACCAGGATATGAGATTTGTGAACGAAAAAAATAAAAAAAGAAAATTACATAAAAAGAAAATGAACTAGAAGTTAAACTTTTCTTCTTCTTCTTCTTCGTCGTCTTCTCCTTCTTTTTGGATTTGGAAAAATTAAAAAAAAAAAAATGAATTGTAAATTTAAAAAAAAAAAAAATCCTGCTTTTCAACTCCATCTATAGAAGTGATATGTCAATAAAATCAAATATATCTTTTTTTTATTCATAAAAAATAATATGAATAAATAATTTCATTTCCTTTTGATAAATCTACTTATTTTAACACAAATTTCAAGGTTAAAATTTCATTGTCTATAAAAATATTTATTATTATAAAAAAAAACTTTGAATTTACAAACTTCTCATACAAATTGATATTTTGGGATATCATATAATATTGTCACATGGTATTCTTAACTACCGAGAAGTCTCAATACACATTCTACCTAAGGGTGTAAATTCGGCACAGCCTAGACCATATAGGGTCAGGCTTGGGCCGGCATGCCCACGGGCCTATTGAACTCTTGCTAAAAATTAAACAGAGTTGACCTGTCCAGTTTTCAAAAAATCGAACCCACGCCCAATTCCAAGGCTTTGGGTTGGAGAGTCGAGCTTGACATTTTCTTATAAAAAAAATTCACCAAAATAATTTGAAAATGACGTTGGGCATCTGATGGGCAGGGCCGTAGCCAGAAAAGGCATGGCCTAGGTTTAACTTGGGAGATTTGAATTGGGCTGAGCCTCGGGTGAAGTTCAGGCTGGCGGACCATTTTTTCACCCCCTGGCTTTACCTAACAAATTAGAATGTCCTAACCATGTATCATGGCCAATCCCGGCCCAAAAAGAAAAACAAAATTTTAAAATTATGTATACATATTTTTCAATGAATAACCAAAGAAAAAAATTAAATTTTTAGCAAACAACTAATTTTCTTAACTTTTTGTAATCCGACCAAAAAACGTTTCATTTTTTTCAAGAAAGCCTATTTCTTTTCTTTTCTTTTCTTTTTTCATTTTTTCTTTTGGCACAAAAAAGAACATCATTATATTTTAAAATTACAAAAATGTTACCTATATAATTTTGGATGAAACACTAATAAATCTCAAAATGTGATTTTGTGAATTGTTTAATCCTCTCTTTTTTCTTATCAACCCAAAAGTCCCATTAAAGTAAAAATTACACAAAATGACAGTCACTTATATGTTTGGGTTTAATTTTTTTAGGAATAAAAGTGAATTTCTCCAAATGTGAAATTACATATTTGGACAATCTGCATTATAGATGTTTTAGATTTTCCCTCCTTGAAAAAATCTTACATTACGGATAAGAACGTAATATTTCAATATAACATTCTAATAACATAATACTCAAATGTAACACACTAAAAAATTCCTTAGTATATTTTTTTTTTCCAAATGTAAAAACGTAACAATCTAAAACAACTCTATAGTGTACTTTTCTCAAACGTAACACTTCAATGTAATACACAAAACAACTTCTTGGTGTACTTTTCCCAAACGTTACACTCCAATTAATGTAATCTCAAACGTAACACTTTAATCAATGTATTCCCAAATGTAACACTCAAATGTAATACATATAAAAAATACTAAAAAATTCCTTAGTGTACTAAAAAAATACTAAAAAATTCTTAAACGTAACATTCACAATTTGAAATTATATATTTGCCCAAAACTTATTAAGGAATTTTTGTACTCCTTTTGGAATGATTTGAAGAATCCCACACCTTCTTGGAATGGTTTGAAGAATCTCACATTCTTTTTTTAAAGTGTTACATTGGAGTGTTACGTTTGGTAAAAAGTACACTAAGGAGTTTTTTTGTGTGTTATACTGGAGTGTTACGTTTAGAAAAAGTACATTAAGTAGTTTTTTTTAGAGTGTTATGTTTGAGTGTTACAATTTGAATTATACATTTGCCTAAATCTTATTAAGGAGTTTTTGTACTCATTTTGAAATGTTTAAATAATTCCATATTTTAAGTCATTTTCGTGTACTCATTTTGAAATGTTTGAAAATCTCACATTTCAAGTTATTCCAAATAAAAAATATTCTCGTGTAAAAATTCATCCCAAATTTGATTATCATAGATTGTGTATCATACATTTCTAGCAGAACAGAAAAAAAGAAAAAGAAAAAGAAAGAAGGAAACATAATAAAAATAAGTCTACAATCGTAAATCTAATTTTTAAATAATATATTAAATCTAGGTATTCAAAATCAATGTGACTAATTGGTCTGTAAGAAATTTTTTAAAACTAAACAGATTATTATTTCTTAAGATGAGAGTTATAAGTACATTTTTCTATAATTTTATTTTATTTTTGTATATTTTAATATTTTTCAAAAATAGTAATCCGCAGACCCAAAAATATCAAGCCAGCATCTAATTACAAGTTTCTTGCCCCAAGTGCGGGGCAGATTAATGTTGAAAAGTGATTGAAATGGTTCAGTGGTCCCAAACAACGTTGAATGAAACTGAATGGGTTGATTTGGTGATTACGACTTCGGTTTGGAGTTGGTTTCAGGTTTTTGATCTTTTATTTGCAAATAATTTTTTTGAGATTATATGAAGCTTTACTTGGCTTTAATTGAACTCCCAATTAGCATAGTAGGATTGGTTCTCCAAATTAGTTAGTTTATTAGGTCGGATATTGAGTTTAAAAAAAAAAAAAAACACACACACACACACAACAATGTCCAATATATATATTTTTTGTTTTATTTTCATAATCTATTTTTTGGAATAAAAGTCTAAATAAATAAGATTAACTAAGCTACAAGAATACTTTATGAACTTATTGTGTTAGAACTACTCTAAACAGGATTTATAAATAAATCCCTCTTTATTTAAAAAAAGAAAAAGATAAATTAATTTAATGAAAAAAGTAAATATAAAAAGCACTCATTTTCATGTAGTGTTACCATTATTTTGGAATGAAAATAATTTATAAAATTTAAAGATATCATTTTATTGTTTTTTATTTTTTCATAAAACTAATTCTGAAATTAAAACCAAACATATTCCTAGAAATATTGTTCCAACAATTTTAGGAGCAACAATATTTCATCCCTCTAATTTATCACCACTAAATAACCTCTAATGATCTGGCATTGAGGTTAGAGCCCACGTGATGAATATTTGACAAATTAAAATTTGACACTTGTCAGATACATTATTAGGGGTGATTTTTACAGGTAATAAATTAGGTGTCTCAAGCATTTTTCTTTTAGGAGGTTGTTGAAAAGTGTTAAAAAAATACTTAAGACACCTAAGTTATCACTTTTTGAACGATAGAAGAACTACTTATCTTCTCTTAGATAGTGGTCGATCGGTTTGCATCTATGGTCAATCAATAAGCTTGCGGATCTATACCCCCTAATGATGTGTTTGACAAGTGTCAAATCTTAATTTGTCAAAATATTCATCATGTAGGGTCTAACCTCAATACCACATCATTATGTGTTATTTATGGGTAATAAATTAGAAGGATGTAGCATTGTTGAAAATGTTATCACCAAAAACAATGAAGTCGATCCAATAACCATAGTTATGTTATTTTATTGCATTTGTTTCTCAAAAAATACATAGTTTAATTTTCAAATAATATTTATCGTTCATTTTTATTCAAATAAATGTCACAAACAATCATCGTTATAGTTATCGGATAGATCTAATTTTTTTTTTATAGATAATCAATACGATGTGGTATAAAAAATGACTAGTTAGAATTATTAAAATGAAATCCGTGGTGAGCCCCAATTTGAGCTCTCTAAAAAAAAATAAAATTAATGCACAATAATATTAATTTTAATTTGTCACACATTAACTACATGGGACCAAATTCTCCTACTATATTATTGTACATAAATTTACAAATCTAAAATTGCAAGTTTCTAACGTTTTTCATGAATTGCTTAGGTCTCTCTCTCTCACACACACACACACACACACACACACACACACACACATCAATTGTTTTGTTTGATATTCTAGTAAG